TCAAGTACACAAAGCCTTGAGTCAACCTCAAGCCAACCAACTGTCAAGGTCTTTCGGCAAAATTTGACTTTTGCAGGGCTCAGGTACATCACCTATGCGACAATTTTTTCTAAAATTGGATTGTCATCTTAATTGGCAATGTTTCCAAGAGTGGATTGTTGGGCATCTTCCTCAACTGGCAATTTTTCCAAGATTGGATTGTCATCTCAATTGCCAATTCTTTCAAGAGTGGATTGTCACGCACTTTTTCATCCGGCAATTTTTTCCAAGATTGGATTGTCATGCAATCCTTGGAAATTTTTTCAAGATTGGAAATTTTCATTTCCCTTGGCAATTTTTCCAAGATTGGATAGTCATTTCCCTTGACAATTTTTCCGAGATTGGATTGTCATTCACCGAATTCACCATGGCAAAATTTCTCAAAGAGGATTGTCATGAGTCTTTATTCAACTTAATATCGACAAAGTTTCCCCGACGTGGATTGTCATTCTTTTCAGTAGTGGCAATTCTCCCGAAGCGGATTATCGATCGACTCTTTTGGCAAATGTTCCAAGACATGGATTGTCGATTGTGGCAGTTTTCCTAAATGGATTGTCGCATATTATTGGCAAATTTTCCGAAGTGGATTGTCCTTTGAGAGTTACTTTCCAAGGTGTGGACTATCGATCGTAGCAAAATTTCCTATGATGGGTTGTTATGCAGCATTGGCAATTTTTTCTGAGATGCAGATTGTCGTTTCATTGTGGCAATATTTCCTATGGTGGATTGTTACGTGGCATTGACAACTTTCCCCAAACCAGATTGTCGTTCATCATTAAGATTTGTGTTGGCAACTGTTCCTAAAATGGATTGTCATCACCAGCAGATACGCGTTTTTTCCCTATATATAACTCCTTTATTTGTAGAACTAATGTTTTCTTCAGGTATCGGTGTTAAAAGGATGATTTAGGATCGCAGAACGTTATGAATCATTCTCCGTCCCTTTCGGCTTACTTTGACTTTTGTTTTCGAAACTTACGTTTCTCCAAACTCAGTCAAAGTGGGGGCTTCTATATATAGACAACTGATTGTGTCTCCCCAAAAACCAAACCCAGTGATGAGTACCTTTCACGTCTTTGATTGACGATTTTGGTAAAGAGTTGAAGAGTCTCGCAAAGTTTTCTTAAGCCTTCACCATATTTCTAACCTTACTTAAAGTATTTTAATCCAAATCATTCATTTCGTCTCCTTAGACCCAAAAACATTCATTTCGTGTTCTTAAAATCATTCATTTCGTGCGCAAATTATAAAAATGTCCAAACTTGATTATTTTGGTCCATCTTCCTATTGTATAGTTGGATGGGGTTTAAAAAAAGCTTTCCAACGATACATTATAATCCCAAATCCGACTTAAAACGAATAAATTATGGCCAAAATACTAAACCGAGCCCAAACCGAGCCTAGGTCCACCTTAGCTACGACCCAATGATTATATGGAGTCCGAATATTTTATTTAGGCCCTATATGATCATATTCTCAATCCTAAATCAGTTAGGATTTTCTAGAATCCTCTAGAAGGTTCTAATCTATCCTTTCCGAAAAGATAAAGATCTAAGAAGTTCGAGATTGAATAAAACTTCTCAAATGATAACCCTTGTTCTATTCGAATACAAAGACATTCGGATATCTTCTGCAAAATTCCATTGGAAATAAAACTCCGTACGGCTTTACTATCTTTTAGAACCAACGTGCAACGTCAGGACCATAGCACTGCGACAGTCTAGACGCGACACGACAACACCCAACGCGATGCGACAATCCTATTGCGTCGCGTCAAAAGTTGTTCTATTTTATTTAGAGCTTCTGATCTTTTTCTGATCGTTAGACTCTCTTTTTTCCTTATAGATAGAGGTCGATTTCCCCGTTTTAAAATCATCTTGAATTAGCCACAATTAGCTAGAACCATCAAAGAATCCTTAGCCATAATCATCAATAATCATAAAAAAATCAGTCACAATTAGCCTAAAAAATCCCCTCATCCCAGAATTCGAGAGCATTCTTAAACCAATGATCTTAGCTTAAACACTCCAAAACAAACACAATACTTCCTTTGCGCGATTCGAATACTCCAAACCATACTCGATGTTGCCTTCGACCTCGACGTGAAAGGTTGATAGTTCTAAAGGTTTGGTCCCAAATCTATATTTCAATTCGTATTTGATTTATTTACTTTATTGATTTAACTTTCTTGAAGTTTACTAATGTGTGTATTGTTTTAATAGCAAGAAGGTTGAGGCATCAAAGTGAGTAATTTAATCACCCTTCTTATTATTCTTTGATTTTGGAGTAGAAATCATGTTTAGGATGTTATTTTGATTTCTAGTATCATGTTTAGGATGTTATTATGATTTCTAGTATCATGTTTAGGATAATGTGTTGATTATGTTATTAGTGACACGCTAGGACTATTATTAATCCGTTTAGTATCATGCCTAGGATCTTACTGCTAACGATGTTTTTATGATTATTATTGTGTTAATCGTATGTTGCTTGATTATTCATGATTCTTTGTTATTGCTTGATCACGCCCTCTTTTGCAAGTTTAAAGGGAAATTGTACTTGAAATCACGCCTAATAAGATAATTTATAATTGAATTCAGGTTCAATATGATCTTTATTCAAGTGATCACCAATATTAGATTTAATTGTGCATTAATAATCAACCAACATAGATTAAACAGGCTTAGGATTAATTTGATATATGTATGTTGATCGAAAAGCGCGCATGAATATCAATAAGAATCAAGAAGAGGCCTATTTAATGCGGGTTTGACTTCTCTTAGGTCAAATTTGTACCATCATCTCCGAACATCCAGTCATAGTTCCGGACCACTATGGAGTTAGCAATCTCTGTGATTGTGAATAGGGTGTAACCTTCACAATCGTGAATAGTTTACAAGTTCCTAAAACTTGTTGGTGACTCTTTTTCTCTAACTTCTTTTCCTTGGAGCACCGCCATGTTTAAAAACATGACCCACATGTAGGGCGAGGGGAGTTGGAAAAATTCCTTACAAAGGGGCTACTCCCCTCATTGCCATATGGTTTTGAAGTGGAATATCCTTGGTCGTATATAGTGAACAATCGTGACGGGTGTGGCCCAAGCCTGTTTAGCAGCCACTTTCACCACCACCTTCTTCGTGAACACCAGACCACTTTCACCACCACCGACCTTCTTCGTGAACACCAGGCCATTTTCACCACCAGAATTCTGGCGGCTTCGCCACCGAACTAAACAAAAACACTAATTGAAAAGGGTGAAAAGAATGGTATGGTCAACCCTTAGAGGAAAGGGTTGTGTCCTCTGCCCAACTCTAGTTAAATGGTAATTCCCACCTTCAATGGTTAAGTGCTCCAATTTAGGAGAGAGAAAATGTTCAAAATTACAACAACAGAGAGAAATGTTCGTTAATGTCTTCTAACATCGTTAAATCTATTGTCCATTAAAAATGTCAGTATTACCCTTAACTTTTTAGATGAAAGTAAATCAAAACCCCTTGCTATTATAAACATGAATTTGCTCCTTAATTATTGACCTCTAATCTAGCGTGGTCTCATTCTTTGGGACTCCTTTCTTTAGTTGCGGGCCTCTAGTCCACCCTTTTAATCATTTGAGACCATTAACTATACAATCTTGATCCAAATTATATGAGTTGGTTATATTATCATTACCAAACTTCGAGATAAAGAGCAAGCCAAAAGTAGGCATCTACACTTTGGAGGCAACGTCAACAATTTTGTTAATGTGAGTCTCTTAATTAGATTTTTAGGGTTGTTGTTCTCTTAATTATTTTCATATTGGAGTCATTTACTCAATTTTGTCGGTCTTTCTTTTGTTGGTACTACTCTTTACATTTAGGAGGTGTTTGGTATAAACATCGTAAATGAAACGGAAAGAATTCAAATAAATTGGGGAAAGGGTAATGATAAACGTTACCTTTACTATATGTTTGGTATCCTAGTGGAATGGAAACAATTTAAGTAGATTTGATTGAGTAAGAAAACGTATTTTGTTTCCACTACTTTGTCAAGGGTAACAAGTTTGGAGATTTTGTTTCCCTCCGAAAACGGTATTTGTTACTTGTGACCCATACCAAACGACAAGAAATGAAAATACTTAATTGAATCTATTTCCTACATCTAAAATTACCATATCAAACGCCCCCTTAGAGTTATAGTAACTGAGAAAATGGATATTTGGATTCAATATGGACTAATTTACTATACAAACTTTCCGATCCCAACAAAGTAAAGTTGTGGATTTAAAATTGTGCTCGACAATATGGTTAAAGTTGATTGTTAAAATTTATACGCTTCCTCTGTTTCTTAATACTTACAACACTTCTCTTTTCACGCTTGTCAATGCAGTATTTCAATCGTTAATATCTTTAATTACCAATGTGTAAAAATTGTAAAAATTTGATATTATGAAAGTATAAATCCAGACGGGTATAACAAGATCCCACATGACTATATTTTTCCTTATCTATAAATCACCAAAGTTAGTCAAAGTGAGATATGTGAATAGTGTAAAAGTCAAACTGTTGCAAGTAAAAAAATGGAGGAAGTATATTATAAGACTTATTAAAAAGTTTGATTTTTTTTTTTTTTTTTGAAAGAAGATAATATTATTTCTGCCCAAAGAAAATGTTAAAAAAAAAAAAAAATTCAAAAAGTGGACAAAATCAGCAAATAACATTCTTATCAAAAAAAAAAAAAGAGAGAGAGACAGTAAAAGGACAAAGCTGTTTGCAAAAAACTGCATAAAGCAATTTCAGCTGTTACTCTTGTATGAGATCTTTTTGTACCTCTCCTGCTGCCCATTTTGGCATCTAATTCCTACAATCCTTCCCACTTTTTACTTTATTTATTTATACTGCTTTTTCATCATTGCTTTCCTAATTGTTACTAATAGAATACTAAATGATTAATTAAACTAATCCTTCTAATAGCTTTTCATTAAATTACTTTAACCTGATTATAATGTTATTCTTTTGCTCACATAAAGATTGGATCAATTTTCAAGATACATTCATACAAGACTCAAATCAATGCATTTCATGACTAAGACGATTGGGAACGAAACCCGTTTACATCACAGTTGGTTGTGCCTCCGGCCTCCCTATACAACACAAAAATTAAACCGGAGGCATTCTAAATAATCATTTTTTTTATGTATTTACTTCCTCTTTATCAGCAGCAATTACATTCAACCGAAACAAAAACTAAAGTTGAATTTAGATGATTAAAAAGAAGAACAAATTAAACTAAGATTTATTTTCTAAGAACTCTTACTAGCATAAATCAGCAAAGAAAATTCAACTCTTTCTTGATCTTTTTGTACCAATTTTTCTTCCAACCAAAGCCTACTTTCACCTCCACTTCTAGTCTTGAACATAAATACTGCAGACCCTGAAACCGGATTGAAAAACCAGTCATGAACATCCCACATCAGATCAACCAGCAACCCGTCGACGAACACGGTCTGATTGCCTCTGAAGTTCCACTGCAACCTCCTAACTTTGATCACTGTCCGCTTGTCAATGCTTACATACAGAACAGGCTGCTTAAGCCTCTCATGATCTTCGCTGCATCGGATCATAATATCATGACTTATACCAGAATCACAAAACTGTGCTTTAGTAGTGTAGAGAGCGTTTCCTGAGTAATGCTCCCTGCGAGAAACGAGCTGTACTGATTTTGACAGCAACGAACTGTCAGTTTTTAGTCTCTTGGTGACGGCTTCATGAGCGAGGTCACCAAGAGCTAAGGTGAGTTCGGAGTTAACTACTACGGCTACGTAGTAGCCGTCTACAGGTTCAGGGCCGGAATGGTATGTTGCAGACGAGAGATCCCAGTATACATCGACCTTTAAAGAGTCTACCTCGAACGATTTCTGGCCTTTCTTCTTACGAAAAAGGCGAGAAAATGTGTTGAGCTTAAAAGAGGCTGAAGAAGGGTCATCACCAAAGTTAATGCTAAGACCACCCTGGCCGAGCGGGTTCCTACACCATGTTACAGTAATCATGAACTGCGTTTGTTCAGAAAGAAGGACGGCTTTATAGAGAAAAATCACAGCATTTGGAACAGAAGGGGTGAGATTCAGATTCGATAGGAGGCACGGTTGGTGATCTTGGTTTATGTAACTAGAACACGTCGTTTCGGATATCCGAACCGCGTGTTCGCTAAAACATGTTACCATGTCTCTCATCTTTGTACAAACTAATGAAATGAGAGTAAAAAAGATGTATTTCAGGAATTTATTTATGAAATTTAGGAGTTATTTTAGGTGGAGGAGTTAGAGTTTTGATGAGCAAAAAAAGGGAGTGATATTAATTTGATTACAAGAAAGAAGGAAAGGAGATCCAAGGAATTCTGACAAACACCATGTAAATGTATTTATTATGATTTGAATTGCACCTTAAAATCTGTAAATTTGTAGTATTATGGAAGGAAAGGGAATAGAAGGTTGAAGGGGGGATCCTTGAGTCTGCCAGTTCAGCTTATCTATATTTTTTAAAAAGAAATGGAGGGGACCAATAACAGAATATTTTTTGAGTTTTAAAATTTTAAATTAATTGTGTTAATTCATACTCTTTAGTAAAAAAATGAATCTGAAGTTGTTTGGTTTAGTTCAACTAATCAAATCTTCTAGGAGAGTTAATGTCTAAATTTTAGCCTATTTACCCCTTGTATAAATTACTTCATACACTTAGGAATATCTAAAATAACGCTTACGACATGTGCTTATACTTTATACGTTATCTCACTTGTGTGTGCGCCAGATTGAGAGCACTGTTGTGACTTTTTTTAGTACCTTTAGGTGCATTGTAGGCCTGTTGAACCTTCTTATACGTGTTGCCAAAATTGTTCTTTTGTCTTTTGTTACTTGCATTATTTGAAGTTTCATACTTACCATTGCATAAATATAATTACAAGTGAATATATTTAATTATCATTCAACAAAACTTATAAAAGTTGAAAATTTAAAATCATATATCGAGACAAATCTAAGAAAATTTGACATAATTATTTGTTTTCTTGCTTGTGTATGATTTAAAAAGTGAGTAATCGAAAGTTTGTGGATAGTGTAATAGTGTAATTAAGTAAATAGAACGAAGGATGTAATGTTTTCTTAGACATCTCCTACTATTAAAAGCGTATGTTAAATCTTATTCAGCATTTGGATTGTATTTACCCTAAGATACATCATCTACTATATAGGTGACTAGCATTAATAAACCTTCTACAAGTATCAATATAATACAACTTAATCTCTTATGAATTTATGTTCATCTCATTTTCAGTAAAGATTATTAGGTTGACTGTAAAGGAAAGCTAGTAGAGAAGGTACCCAAAGTAAATAATTGATCCCAACTTTTTCAAACAGATTGGTGAAAAGTTACATTAAAAGTTCAAATTTGAGCAATTAAAATTTGACATATTAATACTAAGAGGAAGCAATAATCATGTTCATAGTCATTTTAGACACATTAATAATTTCATTTGACACATATTTTTCAATTGTAACCGTAAAAGTTGACCCCACAGGATTAAACCAAAACCATCTTTGTCACACTTAATCATAAGTGAAAATGAAGTACTAACCTTTTATTTGCCTACCTTTTTTGAAGAGGAAGAAGATGATGCTAATGATGATTATATCATGATAACAATGTTTATATATATAATAAAGGAGTACTACTTGAAATATTAGCTTTTTTTTTGTAATTGGCAGTTACTATTTTATCTATACAATGTACCCAAAAATATATGGTTGTAAGTTAGAAATCAAATCATTAAATATTATGCATAAATAAATAAGCATGTAAATAAATAAATAAGGTTGAGTCAAATAATGGTCCCTATCTTTTACTTCTTAGCTCTTGTTCTTTTCTCCTCTTTCAAATTCCATTGCAACTTGGTTAAGGAGAGAAGAAAAAGAAAGGTGAACCTTACTACTTGCATGACAGGATAGCAAGATGAACAAAAGTGGGGTTATAATAGTACATAAACATTCTCATCATTAAAGGTATCGTTTTATCACTTTATAATTTGTACGAGTATATCTTTATCTGAATTTATTGATCCTTATTAGTACTAAAATTTTTAAATTAAGCTTTATTAATCTTTTTTTAAGCTTATATTCCTTGAAACTTGCTTTGAAGGTGATAAGATTCATAAAAACAATTCCTAAATTAGGGAATCAAACATTTACACACATGTGTATATATCAATATATGCTCCTTAAAAAAATAAAATAAATAAATAAATAAAAAAAACACTTAGTATTTAGAGAAAAAGAAAAAGGAAAAAGAAAGGACTTTAGTTATTAAATCAATATATGTACTACTGTAGTATTGATACGAAGTATATGTTAATAAAATAAAATAAGATATGTATTATACCCGGGCTTGGTTCCCTCTCTTTCACCAAAAAAAATAAAAAAAAATGTATTATACCTAAATTTATAATAAGACATAAAAAAAAATGTCCTCATATTAGCATTAATAAAACTCTGATCTTACAATTAGTTTTACGAGACTTTCATACACAACTTTATCAAATCAACTTTTCTCAACAGAAAAAGAAGTAATATTTTGACCTTTATACTTTCTAGTTCATAAAGAAATAGGAGAGAAGAACCAAATCATGCTTGGTATCCTAACTATTATTTAGACAAAATCAACATCCAAATATTTATTTTTTTCTGAAAAAATGGTTGTAAAGCCAAAACAAGCCCTGGCCATAAAAAGATAAATATAAAAAAGTGAAGAATATTATTGTGTAAAAGTAATTTAAATATATACATGTATAAAATAAATAAATAATTAAATAAATAAATAAGGAAAGCAAAGAAAAAAAGAGAGGGAGAAAGTAGGAGAAAAGGGCCAAGAAATGATGATGAAAACGCAGGTGTTATGTTGTCAAAAAACGACAACCACCCATGTAAAACTACTCATCCAAAGATTGATTCTATTATGAATGGATTTTGAGAGCATGGGGAGAAAGATTTGCTAGGGAAAAAAGAGCAAAGGCCCATTTTTAGTGTACTTAATTATTTACTAAAATTTGTTTTTCTCTTTTTATGTCAACTGAATTTCTTGACCAAGTTTTAGGATTAGGGGTGTAAATGAGCTAATAGGTTCATGAACTACTCGCGAACAAGCTCGGTCAAAGCTTGGTCAAAACTTGTTTGTTAAGCTAACAAACAAGCTTGAACAAAAATCTTAAACTCGCAAATAGATGAACAAAGCTCGAACAATATCATGTTCGACTCGTTGATGTTCATGAACAGCTCGTTTAAGTCCATTTTATAGGTTTTTCACGCCCAATTAAAACTCAGACAATGTATATATCTTTTATTCATACATATTTGTAAAAAGTACTAATTATTTCATTATATAAAGGCATGAAAACTACCCGGCTTTACCTTTTTCTATAGAAAGATTAAAAACATCTATGGATGTGTTAAAATTTGAAAGAAACCGTTTTTTAATGATAAATTTGGCCTCGTTTATTTAATCAAACCTGATTTAAATTCGTTCAAGCTCGAACTGAAACCCGAAATGTAAACGAGTACGTTCGTGAACAAAGCTCGAACGAACCACATTCTTAACGAGCCTAGCTCGAACAAGATTTTTAAAAGCTCGTTCAAGCTCGAGATAGTTCGAACACGAATAATTCTTATCAAGCTTAGCTCGAACAGATTAAAACTCGGCTCGGCCCGGATTGTTTGCAGCCCTATTTATGATGATACTCATAGCAATGTACTAAGATTCAATCTTTTCTACATCATAATCAGTAGAATTCTCGATATACCTTCAAATGTACTCTGTAACGTAACATAAGAGTAGTTGTTTTAGCTTTTTTTTTTATTTTTTAATTGCGACAATTTGACTTTCACTTATGTACACATAATTTTGATCATTAATACTTCTACAAAAAATCTCGAATTATTATGTATATATCCTAATTCCGAAGTGTTAATCACTAATAAAAAAATATCATAGCGAAATACAAAGTACATAAATATAGAACAATTTCCCTCAAAATTGCTTAAAGACAAAATAATTCCCTATTTGCATCGGTTTTAAAATTAAATCCCACCATATTGTCCACGTGGGATTGGTGGTAGATTTGGTTTTTTGTTTTTTTTTTTAAAAAAAAATTTGGTTTAGTGAAGAACCGCTAACTGTGATAGCGGTTTTATACGATAAAACCGCTATCACCGTTAGTTCTTCTAATTAAAATATATCACACTTATAATCTTCTTTGCACTTCCTTAATTAGAATAACCGCTAACGATAATAGCGGTTTTTCACAATAAAAACGCTAGCACCATTAGCGGTTCTTTGCTGAACCAGAATTAAAAAAAAAAATATAACGAAGCTATCACCAATCCTACGTGGACAATATGGTGAGAATTAGTTTTAAAACCGACACAAATAGGGAATTATTTTATCTTTAAGCAATTTTGAGGAAAATCGTTCCATTAGCAAAAATCAAATTATTATAAATAAAGAGGAAAAAAATTATTACTTTGTACATACTCCCTCTGTCCCATAATATAGTTCATGTTTGTGTTTTTTCACGGTATTTAAGAAATAGGATGAGAAAGTGGATGAAGTACATTAATAAAAGTAAAAAGTACAATGATAGAAAAAAGTTGGAGAGAGAAAGTGAAAAAAAGTACAAGGCATGCGCAAAATTCAACGATAATGTAGGAAGTACAATAAATAAAGTTAAAAAAGTGAGGGTATAATGATCTTTACATATTATCCAAAAATAGAAATAGAAACAACATTTTAACTGTCTAAAATAGGAAAACAAAAACTATATTATGAGAGGGGGAGTATTTTTTTTTATAAAGAGTGTGGGCCAAAAAAAAATAAGAGGCAACTCGTCTGGTGTATGGACCCCATAATAAAGCTCTACAATGGGAGGTTGTCCCTCAATTATCATGCTGGAAGTACAGTGGAGATCTATAATAAGGTCTATATTATCTGATTTTGGTCATAATTTAAAATTGGAAAATTTTGTGTTTAATTAAGTGCAACGAGAATTTATTTATTGAAATAGAAATTAAGAGGGCCTGGTATTTTTGGTGCTCATTAAGACAAAAGAACCAGACATTCCAGAAAATTGATGCCACGGTTGTGGACTGTTGAGTGTTTGATCCCTTGAATCTTTTTAAAGCTTTATGATTCTACTCGTAATAATTATCATTTTTGTGTAACTTGAATGATTGTGAAGGACTACTTTATTCTTCGGTTTGGTTGATCTATATTAGTTGAGTTAAACTTAAGTTTTCCCGAATTATATTAACTCGATTGATCCTATTGAAAATTGATCTAGCCTAAATCAACTCAACATTAAAAAAAATGTGACAAGTATCGGTTCATGATCACAATAAACTAGTTGATAATCGACAATGTCTCATCATCTAAATAGGCTTTGAATTGGATTAAGCCAAACTAGCCCTAATCCAAAAATTACCTATCTTCTCAAATACGGAGTATTCATCATGTATAAGAGGATGAATTTCCTTTAATATAAGGAAGCTTCTCAAATAATATAAACTTCAATCACCAAAATTTCTTCAGATATGACGAAATTTCCATCAATATAAGGAAACTTCTCTATCAAAGCACCGGCCCTTTCTTTACTTAAATTGGTTCAAATTTTTTGAACATTTCTTATAAAAATGACTCGTAACAGTTTGCGTAAAAAGGATAATTATAATATATTAAGCATATTGGTAATAAAACTGGATATGACCCCATCAGAATCAAATTGAATTGAATCAATCTAAACAACACCCTGAACATGACTCTACCTGAATCCAATACAACCGACCTGATTGCCACCTCTAATAACTACAAAGCACAAAAACCAATTTCTTGTAAACGGCCTAAATCCCAACTGTATAGCAAAGAGAAGCACACAGTTTTAGCTATAGTAGACATTTTACTTCTAATGCGGCCTATACCTTAAGCTATGTACCAAAATCATTGGCTGAGGCAATTTCCTAGAGAAGTAAATCCCAATTTTAAGAAATAGGTCGAGCTAGGAACACATTAACTACTCCACTACGGATGACTCTTGGGGTTGGAATTGTTTTGGTAAAGCATTGCTGTCAAAATAGAAGTGCACTCAAAGATCCTTATTTTGATAAACTTCAAAAATCCCAGCGCAACTTTGAAAGAAATACACAAGTATCAGTAACATAAAGAGTATAGCAATAGTAGTATTATCCCGAATACGTCATTTGATCATGTGTTTAGAACATACTCCCTTCGTCCACAAACAGTTGTCAGATTGTGCTAAATCCTAAGCTAGCAGACTTACATTCATTTCTCCTAGCCCTTAACCTGATAAGACGATAACAATGTATTAGCCTGTTAGGCGCAACAGCGTGAGAAAAGCTAGACGAGGCGCAAAGAGGACTCCTCAACAACAAAGAGAGAAACTAACGCTAACCTTTCCACTATAGTACAAATGACAAAAAACCAAAAACCAAGTACGAAAGGGATGGAACAGAAATAGCATTTGGTGGTCTTTGCATAAGCAACAGTTGCAAGAGATCAAATAAATTTAACCCAAGTACACAAAAGGATCCACCAAAATAAGAGAACAGGAAGCTTGACAGTTGACAAGCACTCCCTCTCGCATTTTTACAACTCATGTTGACAGCCATTTATACGCCCACCAAAATTTCCGAAGAGTTTTAAAATCTTCACACTATAGCAAAAACAAAATAATCCACATAAAAAAGTTCCGAATAACATCTATATCAGATAATCTTTCAATTCATACTTATAGTTTTCCTTTTGGCAATCATTTTATTTTCTGAAGTTGCAAATCAATTGTAATGTTACTTATATGGACAATGATTCTCTCTCATTCTCTAGAGGTGTCAAACACTGACTCAACTAAACTAGACTCGACCTAACCCGAATCAAATCAGACTTTGATCCACATGAACACAATAATCTAGTATGACTGAAACCGACTAAACCTAGCCCGACTAGACCTAATCTGAATCCCAACCGGTGACCCGAAATGACACCTCTTCTAATCACATGAGAATCCCTTTTTTCTCTCCTCTCTTAAAATACTGTGTATTTCCTAAGTTGTAATTAAAAAGGAACAGAGAAAGTAAATAAAAGAAGCCAAAGGGGTAGAAAGAATTTTGATGCATTCAAGTAAAATAAATTGAAAACATATCTGGGACAATAAATAAATTAATGAAACACATGTTGCTAGTGGGCAGGCCGGAGAAACAGAAGAATCTTCAAACTGTCAGTGGCCAACTGTTATAATCGAATTCAATGCCAAGCTGCTAGCTTCCTTCCTCCTATATTACTTAAACACTAAGGAGAGATATTTGAAGGGAAACAAATTGTAATTATTAAACAATAAAAATACTTTAAAAGAAGGTACAAATTAAGGCTTTGAAACAAAAATTAATAATTACTCTGTAAAACTAAGTTCATTCTCCCACAGGTGCTACTCTGTCAATCCCCCTCTCTTCATTTGGTCATTCTACCATGGTGTAAAATACAATCAAATTTAATGGATTTAAATTCCTGGTTGTATTATAGAATTATCTCTATTTGACATTAATTATCAGATATTCCAACTTTTCAACCAAGATTACAATGTAATTTACAAAGAGTCACATTAATAACTTAAGAAGCTACATAATGGGTACCTTAATTGTAAACTCATAGCTTATTAGGAAAGGTGACGGGAACCTAAAATAGTACCCTAGACGGAGTAACTATGTGACCGTGAATCCAGACGAGGGTAAGTAAGCAGATAAATGTCCCAATGCAAACTGCACTTGACATTATTGAACTAGACCCAGTACATATGACTATAAACTTTGATGTAATATAGAAATTTCTTGTCTTGCTTCAAATAAGACAAATAATCAGATACCAAAGCTCACAAAGGGCAGGAAATCAGCAAGTGCTTTCAGTATTTGGTGGTTAGGAATGTCAAACCATCTAGCATTAAATTTCTAATACTTTATTAAAGAGTCATATACTGGGATACATTTTATAATTAAGGTACAGGATTTATTAAATATGATATTAAATATAATCTTATGACTTAATTAGTTGAACTGGTTTTAATTTGTAAACTAATATATAGATTTAATAAGTTGCAGTCAATCTGGCATGTTAGCCCTGTACTTAACACTCTAGACACAAATAACATCCTTTAATTAATCAATTTGCTAATTGTATTTTGTCGTTGCATAACTTAACCAAATTACACTAAACAAATATATTTTATTGTAAAAAACATGCGAGTTTTCTTAATTTTAAATTTTGAGGGTTTAATGTCAAACTAAATTCAAGTGTAATTATTAGCTGAGATTTATGCATTAGCAAGCTATAAAATCATTTTCTAATGCCCCCTAAAGTCTTATGATGAATCAACTAACTAATAAAATAAATGATTCTCCTTTTGAAAATAATACTAACATACACTGTTTTGGATTATTCGTAAAATTTGACATACGGCCTAAAATAAAAATATCTTAACTATCATAAAAGGATATTCTTTTGAAATTATATACTAGTAAATTAATTTCGGACGTAACATTTTAATTTTTGGAATTTATGGTTAAAACTTAAAAGGCTTGTAATACAGATGCCAGAATTAGAAGTATAGGTTGCAAAAAAAGATTAGGTTTTATTTTATTTATTGTTATTCAACAACCGAAGCATGTGCAGTCTTTGGTCCCCAAGGCTAAAACCTTAATTAGAGAACGTGAGTAAACTAATCTAGTCCCTACCCTTCAATACACCATAAATGATCAACCAAGAAAAATTTCTTATTAAAAATCTGATTGTTACTTACAGTATTTCATTGAATCTTGAATGTACTAGATAGCTAAGTTGACGAGACCCGAAAATTCACATCCATAATTTTGTCTCTAATGTACATAATCATCTTTTAATTACCCTGTATTACTAATTACTTTGTAAATATGACTAATTGATCATGTAAAAAGCAATACATAATACATCAACAAATATTTACGTTTATTTAACCCTGGCTGGACTGTCGAACACATATTTAACATGACAGCCATAAAACAACCACCGTTTTCCCTAACCCACCCAGAATCTCTAAACAGATTGATAAATCAGAGAAATTCATGTTTTACCACCTTAACCATTCATGACTCTTAAAAGACAATCATATACATTATATTCTACAGACCTTTTAACAAGAACAACTTACATATTACTCCCTTTTACCCAAGAAGATTGTAACAATTTCTAAAACTAAGATAAGTGTACTGCAGACTATTACTTATATCTACTTTCGATTGCATAATTCCTATATAAATTTAGTCACGTAATGATACTTCTACGGAGTATTATATTCTAGGATGAGGACGACCAATTTTTAAAATTTATATCAACTTTATGAAATAAATGGTCTTTAAGGGAAATTATGATATATCTTTAATTGCGAAAAGCTTAAAACAATGCAGCATTATTTTTCAGACACTTGAACAATGCTTCTAATGAACATGTACTTAATTGCATTAATAAAAGCTTTCAATCGTTCACTACACTCCAAAGCACTGTTGCACAAAACTAGAGGCGGATCCAAGTACAAAAAATTAATACTAGTAATATATAACCATTCATAAACAAAAATATAATTAATAATACATAAACATCCATAAAGAAGATGTTTGGAAAAAGAAAAAAAAAAAAAAAAAAAAAAAAGTAGCTCCATTTTCAAAAATTAAAAAACAATCATTATTTGAAATCATAAATACCTCTAATGAAATTAATGGAGCAGATAAGAAGCAAAAATCGGTAATTAAATATATTCTTGTCTTTTAATGATTAGAAAAAATATGAAAATTGTTTTTGGACAGGAAAAACAGATAACATGATGATTTTGTAGATGCTCAGACTCTAATACTTAAGCAATGTGTATAATGTAGTCAATCCAAAAAGTACTTGCTTATTTGCTATAATATGATAGCAGTCCTTCCTGACAGTGATAGTAGCTTAGTAATGGCAAATTTAAGATCAGCTAAGATTTACTAAAATATTGTATTACGAAAATATGAAAATACCAAACATGTTGGGTATTAAACACATTATAAATAGACAAAAATACCCTTGAAGCAAATAAAGACAGTTATGAAGCAATAAATAAAAAAATAAATAAATAAACTAAACTTTCGAGTGCTAGATGACATTTCGCCAAATTCTAAATTTCTAATATTAAAATCAGCAGCAACAAAAATTAAAAATATAAATACTAGTATATTTCTTATATAAGAAAGAAAATAAAAGATGTTTTCACTTGGTTGATTAACAGTTGTTTTACATTGCTATATCCATAATCAGATTTTGACTTTATTATCATTTCTCTCATTTTCTTGCATTGTTTGATTGGGTTCTACATACTGACTTCACAATTACTACAAGCTAAAACATGATTTCCATATCAGGCCTCAAATGTCATTATCAGCTCTAGTACAATCTCAAGTGAATAAGGCACTGGGCTGAGCAGGCACGTAAGCATGAATTTGGCATGACCCAGCATGAATATGGCACGGCCAAGCATGAGGCGCAAAGAAGTTGGCCACGGGGCTTGGGCTGAGTCTAGGCCAAGGTTTTGGGGAAGTGACAGCATGGTCCACTGTCATTCACTCATTCATACTCTCAAGTCTCAAGCAACCTAATGGTAATCAGCTCTGATGCAATCTCCTCGAGCAACCCAATAATTTGGCTAACATTATTATGAGCTTCATCACCTAAATACTGGAACTATTCAGCGGAGCCTACTTTCAATAGACTAGACAACATTAGTAATTTTCTAGATGGGCTCCAAGACACAACATATCAGACAACTTAAATCAAATCCAATGTGAAAGCATAGATTTGCTGCCATGCAAAAGCATCTATCCCCATCTGATTCACGAATCCTAACTCACCTAGTAAGTACAGCTCAATGCAACAATTCTCTCAAACTACTCATCTGAAAAAGCCGCGTCCACTAAGCTAATCAATAACTAGGGGCAGGTGGTTTACATCACTGCTTTTAGGAGTATATTTTGGTCACGTTTTTTATAATACTATCTTTGGGATCACAACATTTGATATTTGATAGACGTGGGTATATGTCCAAGTGCAGGGCTAGGCTATACTATAAAAACTATCAGTGTTTATGGTCCTTAATGAAGTGTCAAGATTCCATACCCATGTCAGTACTAGTACTCTAACATAGCTTGCAAAGAAACAACTCAGATAAAAGCTGCCCAAACTGATCCATTGAAACAAGGTAAATATTTAAATGGAAAGAAAATTACTGACTTCTTCATTAAACATTATTCGCAAGAAGTTTAATCCATAAAGAAAAGCAGTGGAAGCTCAAAAATATAATTTGGCTTAACATTTGGTAAATTCTCTATCTTCAGATGACATTTCTTGTGCCAAATTGGACTGTGTACATAAATGCTCACTACCTAACAGCTTGTCAAAATATATTTCTAAGCTAGAATTTAATTTCATAGTAAACATTAACATCAAAAGGCCATGTAAAAGATACCTTAGTACAACTAGAAGAGAAGAAAAGAAAGAGCTCCTTTACTTGCAGAAGGGAGCACCCAGTTGACTAGTCTACTTCTAGATGGGACTGACATAGTTGGCAAATCTACCTGTCAGGAAAGGAATACAGCCATTATAATCAAAGTTGGCAAGTTCAATATAATTTATTGATTACAGTACATTAAACATTTCCAGTAATGCAAAACTCTAAAAAAGAAGAGATTTTGTGCATACTTACGAAGCTAAAGTAGCAATGCTACAATAAACAGGTGTTCGAACAGTTAAAAGGTATAGCAATGTCCAATTGCACACTATCACATACTGAGAGTAAAAATTAAATGGATTTCAACTAGCTTAATTAGTTAAAGTCTTAGGGGGTGATAATACCGCCTACATTAGTTGCTGGTGGCTCTCCACACCACAAAAAATAAAAATAAAAATCTACTTCGTAATATATAGTTACTTCAACACTTAATTCTCAATATAATCCTGGATAGTATGGCACTGATGTAACAAAGCATTTACTTCCTCATAATACATCTTAGGCAGAAGCTGTGATTAAACCTATACAAAGAGTTTATAGGTACACAGTGATGTATATTCGTTAAGGCCAGTAAATAAGCAATATCACTGCCAAAGTAAAACACTTTAAATCTTGCCCTTCGTAATGTTGAATGGTCGTGAGCTTGCTGGTGTTGAAAGAAAGATGGTACAATTTCAAACATTGCGTAGCAAGCTTGTAATACCAGGCAAAAATATGGACCCAATTTGAGATTATATCAGCACTAAGATTACCAACTATTAAGTATTCTGTAGTCCTGTAAACTTATAGGTTCTTCCATTGACAGCTGTAGATGATAAATCTTGTAAAACCTACAACTTCAAAAGTGTCAATCTCAATTTCAGAGAAAGTGTTGGGCCTTTTATTTTTTTTCCAATTCCAGACTAGAATTCAATATATGGACGAGTAGCACAACACAAAATTCAAGTTAGCTACTGATAATACATTCGTCATCTTAGTTCTAGTATGTTATTCAAAACTAACAAACCAGTTTGGGGGAGGGAGGTGAAAGGATTAACGAATGTGCTAGCTAGTTTGCAATTAACGACAATTAAAAATAACGAAGACGGAAAAAACAAATAATAAATGAGACAAGGAGAATTTAACGTGGGAAACCCGAGTACCGGGAGAAAAACCCACCAATCCACTATAGAGTAATACTTTGATGAAGAACAATGTAGTTTACAAGCTTTCAATTCACCATGAAAGCTCCCACCCCAAACTCACCCTCTCAAACACTCAAACCCTAAGTGTTTTGGGTTTACATTGAGGCTTTCTCTCTCTACATCTTTCCCTTCATCCTATTCCTCACTCCTAACAATGACAAAACAAGAATATATATAGTGCAAGAGTACAAGGAAGATCAACGGCTAAGATTACATCCCGAACGAAATAAAAGAAATCACAGCATTGGAACAGGGCAGCGAACCAAGGGTGGTTCGGTCGAGCTCTGGGAAGTCAAAAGGTTCTGCTCAAAAACCTGGTTCGACCGAACTACTGCGCGACAACTCTCCGTAAAACGGCCATAACTCCCTCGACTCTTGACCAAATCGCGCTTATGACCAGTCGTTGGAAAGCTCTTGAGACAAGCTATCACCTTTAACTTGAATCATCTCAATATCATTTCTAGATCTTGAGATATGCTCATTTGAAGTCAGCTCCTGCTTTTCATTGTTGCTTTCCACCAAGCAAACAATCCATGGCTTAACTCCAAAGCTATGCACCCCCTTAGCCTTCTTGAACCGTTCTCTACACTTCTCAAACCCAACAATCTCCGACGTGGAAATCAGTTTAAGTGTGAGAACAAACACACTACACATATACTCTCATGGCTTCTCCATTGTGCTCCAACATCTCTACATAAGCTTTACAATCTCCTAACCCGAAAATCGGCTTATCATCAAGAGATCACACTAACGCAATGAGTCAACCATCATCATCAACATCTTCGCTAATCACCATAGCAAAGACTCGCTTTCTCTACACCAAGAAAACAAACCCACTTCCACTTAACCAAGGAAGTGATATAACCTTGACAAACTCATCACACAACCGAGGGACTTTCCCTTGTTCTCCAAGCACTTTCACCATGCTCCAAACCGAACACACCCTCCAAAGCAACACACAAGCCAAAGGAATTCATCTTTGCTCTTGGAACAACTCACCATGCTTCCACCCGAACAAAACATCATTTGCTCCACTTGTTTCACCACACACAATGCCCTTGTGTGCAACACGTTTCCTCTCTACCACGGAACAACACCGAAGTCTACACCAACTTCGACACAACCATTTCCTTTTCACCAAGGAAACACCATCTCCTCTTCGCCAAGGAGACTAACCATCAAGATCAACACCAATCTTGATAAAACCACTTTCTCTCAACCAAGAAAGCACCACTTCCTCTACACCAAGGAAGTAAAACCCGGAGTCTACACCAACTCCAACACACCACCTTCTACACGACAAGAAGGCAATGAAAACATCGAGATTTCAACCAACCCCGACAATACATTCATTTCCTCTACACCAAGGAAATGACACCTCCTCTCAACCAAGGAAGCAAACATCAAAGTCTACACCAAATTTGATAAACATCACGTTATCCAAGGGAATTTCCTAGTTCTCCGAGTACTCCAAATATGCTCCACACAAACTCAACCTCCGTGACAAACACAAGCCTTTTGGGCCTTTTCCTTTGTTGATGGAACACTCCTACCATGCTCCCACCTTAACAAGCACTCATACTTGCCTTTCACACACATAAAACCATGTGTGCAACCATCACTCACAACCATCATGTGAGCCTTCATGATACACCTTCACCTGGCACGTCTTTCCCGAGCTTCTTCTATCATTGAAACACCGAACACCACGGCTTCTCTTCAATGACAATCCAACCAACAATGTCTACCGCAAAGATTCACATCACCTCAACAAAACCCATGTGAGACCCCTTCACTTGACATGGTTTTTCCGGCCATCTTCAACCATTGAAACGCCAAAACCACGGCTTTTTCTCAATGGCAATCCGACCAAGCCATGCTTCCGCAAAGAACTCACCCCCATGACTACCCATGTGTTTTCCAAAGGTAACAAGGCACCACTCCATTATCCCATGAACTTCAAATCAAGTTCCCTCAACAATTTCTCCATGGCCCTCCCTCACACACATGTAGCCAACAATAATGTTGAGTTTACTACCAAATATCAAGATGGGGAAAATCTTGATATCCTTTAACTCCAACATTATTAACACTCTATAGATTTCAATCCTCCTACTCTGTCTTCCATTGTTAATCAAACACAAAATTCAAGACTTTTCAATTTCAATAACAACCAATTGAAATCCATACCAAAGACTCAAATTTTGAACACCCACAACACCAAAATTGAAAATTTAACACCAAAAATTCAATCTTTGGACTTTCCAATCACAAACAACAAGCATACCACACAAACTAACCCTAAAAATCCGCCAAAACAACCTTGGCTCTGATACCAATTGAAAGGATTAACGAATGTGCTAGCAAGTTTGCGATTAATGACAATTAACAATAACAAAGACGGAAAAAACAAGTAATAAACGAGACAAGAAGAATTTACCGAGTACCGGGAGAAAAACCCACCAATCCACTATAGAGTAATACTTTGATGAAGAACAATGTAGTTTACAAGCTTTCAATTCACCATGAAAGCTCTCACCCCAAACTCACCCTCTCAAACACTCACACCCTAAGTGTTTTGGGTTTAAATTAAGGCTTTCTCTCTCTACATCTTTCCCTTCATCCTATTCCTCACTCCTAACAATGACAAAACAAGAGTATATATAGTGCTAAGAGTACAAGGAAGATCAACGGCTAAGATTACATCCCGAGCGAAATAGAAGAAATCGCATCGCTGGAACAGGGCAGCCGGTTCGCCCGAACCTACCCTTAGTTCGACCGAACCAGGGGTGGTTCGGTCAAACCTCCAAGAGGTTCGGTCGAACTCTCGGAAGTCAAAAGCTTCTGCTCAAAAACCTGGTTCAGTCGAACTTCCGCACTGCGCGGACAACTCTTCATAAAACGGCCATAACTCTCTCGATTCTTGACCAAATCGAGCTTATGACCAGTCATTGGAAAGCTCTTGAGACGAGCTATCACCTCTAACTTGGATCATCTCAATATCATTTCTAGATCTTGAGATATGCTTATTTGAAGTCAGCTCCTGCTTTTCATTATTGCTTTCCACCAAGCAAACAATCCATAGCTTAACTCCAAAGCTATGCAACCCCTTAGCCTTCTTGAACCGTTCTCTACACTTCTCAAACCCAACAGGAGGTGGGATGAAATCAGATCTACCACAGGGTGAAAATCTGAGAGGTTGGTAATGTCGCATCAATATAGGCCGGTAATGTTAAGCATCAATATTCAAGGTAGGCATACTTCAAAATTAACACATACACACACATCAGCAAGCCAATGTGGCAGAGGAAGAAAACAGTGCAGGGTGGAAATCTGAGAGGCCGGTATTAATAAGCATCGATAATCAAGGTAGGCATACTTCAGAATTAAAATTTAAATTGATAGTAGCCTGAAAGAAAAAGATAGATAGATAATTAGTTAGTTAGATAGTAGCCTCTTGAAAGCTTGGATATCATTTAGTTTTCTGCAATTACAGTTTAGTAAACAAATCATCTTCCTCATCCCTTCAATTCTTTCATTAATGATGTCCAAGCTAAGATAAATTTTAGCAAATGGTACAAAAAGGTCAACCTAAATGAGAAATATAAGGACAAACAGGTGATACCGATTTTCAATCAAACAGGCAGTTAGATGAGTCCTAAATGCAATAGCATCTTTTCAAAAAGGACATGTATGAGTGTATGACACATAAAGGACAATATGCTAGCCAAACAACAGATATCATAGCTGTGCATCATAATCAGATAAATAAAGCATGGAAGCTTTTACTCATTAAACAAGTAAACAACAGTGTACAACTTAAAATGTATACATAACAGGATTATCAAACTGATTGAGATGGAGGTATGACTGTGTGACTGTATGACTACATGATGGAAAGTCACAATTACAAATATGCAAATCTTTCAGAACCTGCACCATGTTTGGATAAAAAGATGAGTATATATCTTCTCTATTTGGATAAGACATAGCACATAGGGCAAGTGAAGGGAAAGGAAATATAGGGATCCATACCCTTCCTTTTTAATAACCAAATCCCTTCATTGTTGGAGAGATTTGAAAAGAAAATGGATACTATTTCCCTTCCCTAGTTTTCTAGCTCCACCCCACAATTTCTTTTCCTGCTTTTTTTTTTCCCTTCACTTTCTCTTCATTATTGTCTTCCAAATATAGTGTTAAGCACACAAGAAAAATTTGCAAGCAATGGATGCATGTAGCCATAACCAGCTGCTCCTACTAAGATTAGGTAACTCTCTCTTCACTAATACCCCCACAGCATTACAAAAGAAAATCGAGCTTTAGAGGGTTCTAGGGCTAAGTATTATTAAGTTATAAACTTGGGAAAGATCCTCAAAAGGCACAATAGAATTTTTTACACAGCCAAACAGAAAAGGACAAAAAAATAATCACCCAAGATACAAAGCTGTGAACCACAACTCTATGAAAAATTTGTCAATGGAGTAGACAATAAAAAGGGAAAATAAATAAATAACAAAGGTACTGCTATGATTATTTAAGAATCAGTAAATATAATGTTGAAAGTGTTAGGGGAAAAGAAAAAAAAAGTCAATTGCACAACAAATTAAGGATCTGTTTGGTCGGGGTCTTTGATTAAGAGAAAAGGAACTGCTCTTTAACTTCTTGTTGTTTGCTCACGTTTTTCTTCTTTGTTTCCTTTCTCCAGTTTCCATGAACAGAGTTGCCTGTTAGCCCAGATACCTAATTCTTGTTTTTCCACCATTCCCTAGGACATGGATTACCCCAAATTTGATTTTTGCTTACATAATATACTGTCACCTATTACCACAATGCCAAAGCCACTGACTGCCACAACAAGTGCACTATCATCCCGGAGGAACTGCCATCCAAGTTCCCACCATGACACCTTTTGTTAGCAACCCCAACCTAAAAAAAAACCTCTTCCCAATCCCAGAACACCAACCAACATCACTATATTTCCTCCACACGAAATCCCCAACTCCCACCACTTGTGTGTCTTCTAGGAATACACTTAGACAGCAATTCACACCTCACCCCCATCGCATCCAACCAAGACCCGGAACAGGATAGAGGGCAACAACCAACAAGCCTTTTTAGTTGTGTCAATGATGGCTTAGATTTAGCCACATGGTGGTCAGACTTGCCCGCCAAATTTTGGAACTTTTGGCCATTTCCAACCACCAAAGATTGGAATTTAGACCAATTCATCATATCAGTGGCTAGTATAGTGAAAATCTGAGTGGTTATTGTCCAAGCTACGAGATGGAGAGTGATATAAACATGAGATGGACGTAGTTAAAGAGAGAAGGAGCAATTGAGCTTGAGCATGATGATACAAGATTGGGATGAGGTAATGGCAATATAAGAAATTGGAGGTGACGAGATTGTTGACGCCAGAGGAGAGTTGGTGATGAGAGGATAGGTATATTCACTTTTATCAATATTTGACAACCAAACAAACACAAATGAAGATTAAATCCAATCCTTTTGCCTACCAACAAAAAAGATAACAGAATTGTTTTCTAGTTCTTTCCTTTGGCTTATTTAATGAATTAAACGGAAGATCAACGTTTCACTTTACAGCTCTAATGGGACATAATGGAGGATATTAATTCGCCTGAAGCTATGTGCATTGGAAAAAATAATTGAGTAGTGCTTATAGCAATTAGCAGAATAAACAAAATGGTTTGATAACTTCCTGCCTATAAAGAATAAAAGGCACCTTCCATACACAAGAGATATAGATAATCACCATCAGAGTTGGCAATCTTGACACTATGTGAAACTAAGACACTATCTATTTCCGACAAAAGGCATTCCTAAATGTACATAAATGGACCTTTTTTCTCATGCCAGAGATGTCATATAGCCTTACATAAAGCCACTTGATGGTCAGACTTATTCTGAAACTTTTGGCCATCTCCAACCACCAAAAATTGGAATATAGACCAATTCATCACATCAGTGACTTGTGTAGTTGAAATTTGAGCAGTTATTATCCAAGGTAGAGGTGACGAGTGGTGACAATATGAGATGAATGTGACGATGCAATAATGGAGCGGAGGTGGAATAGAAGAATGTGGTGGAAGAGATGAAAGGAGAAATTGAGCTTAAACATGGTGACATAAGATTGAGATCATGAGATGGAGAAGTAATGGCAATGAGAGGAATTGGTGGTGGTGAGGTTGTTGAGACCAGAGGAAGCCTGGTGATGAGAGGATAGGTGTATTATTTTTTCAATATTCGACAACCAAACAAACACAAATGGTGATTAAATCTAATCCTTTTGCCTACCAACAAAAAATATAACAGAAGTTTTTTCCAGTTCTTTCCTTCTGTCCTAAAAGGAAGATCAACATTTCACTCTATAGCTCCAATGCGGCATAATGAAGAATATACATTCGCATGAAATTATGCACAATGGGAGTAGTAGTGCTTCGAACAATCAACAAAATAGTTAAGATGGTTTGATAACTTCCCTTCTACACAAAAAAAAGCACCTTCCATACACATGAAAAATGGATAAGCACCATCAAAGACTTGGGAATTTTGGCACTAATTCGCAAATAAGACACTGCCTTCTATTTGCGATAAAAAAGCATTCCTATTTGTGCATAAATGTCACTTAGGACATTATAATTAATCCCTCCATTGATCACCTTTAAATCAAGAATTCATACAAACATAATTAAGAAGCAAAAAGAGATGAGAACTATTAACTAACTTAATTCAATCCTCAAAAATTGCTTAAAAGGTTGCTTAATGCTACTCGGAGCTATATGAATTCAATGTCTTATATCATATTAGATACTCATTTTACCATATTTCCCTTTCCTGAAACAATACAAAGCGAGTATTACCGGTCCTAAACCTAGTCTATGCGATACAACCGATGACCTACCGAAACTTCATTCAGACAAATTCACTATAATCACCAATGTACATAATCAATAATCACTAATTAATAATTAAAACAATCAATTAGCCAGCATGTTAGATCCCATCACTGAAATAAGACATTAAATCCAACCCGAAATCGAATAGCGATAAAAAGGACTTACATTCAGCAGAGGAATCAAGTCCATCAGGAAGCCTGGAAACAAGACAAGCCGAAGCAATGGCGCTATAAGCCGGAATAAGCGAGCACAACTCACGACGAACTCTAACAAAGAAAATATCATACAATGTCAGAATTCGATGAAATTGGAGAGAGAAAGTAAGAGAGAGAGATTGAAAGGAGTACCTGAATGAAGAAGGAAAGGGGGAAGGGGAGATTGGAGTACGACGAAGAAAGATTGGAGGAGATGAATTAATGGAGAATCGAGGAGAAGAAGATGGAATTGAAAATGGATTGTTCTTCTTGCAAATTGTGCGGAACAATGTTGATCTTCCGCCGATTGAAGCTGCTGCTGCCATTGTTGTGTGTTTTAGCAGATGATAGGCTTAGTTGAAACTAACTGCAAAACCCTCTACTAAACCCCTCTTCTTTTTTTTTTTTTTTTTTTCAATGGTACAAACAAGAGAAACACAAGAACAAAACAACATAAATAAGTTAAAGAGTTACAAATTTGAAGGATATCTAGAACCAAATTATCATATCTTTATACGGAAAAGTGTTAGCGCATAGTAGCTATTGATTTAGAAATCTATAGGATGGCAATATTGCAATTAGTTGGAACTTTGTAACATGCATGTGGGTCATTTAAGTGCCAAGTGTGTAACGGTATAGCACATTGTAACGAGGAGTGAAAAATTGAAGCGGGAAAAAGACTCCTTCAAAAGCAAATGTTGTCAGTAAAAAGTGAAAAAGGAAAATGGAAGAAGCTCTTCAATGGCGATGACGAATGCTCAGCTGAAATCCATTATTTCGTCAATGGTAAAGTCGAAATTGCAATAAATTGATGAAGAAGTAGATTATAAGAATGGGAAATCGTCGGCTGGCAGACATGTTGGGGGTCGATTTAGCGGAAGCATTGCGACAAGATGGCGAAGACGGGCGTGATTGCGCAAGGGAGTTGCGATTCGACTCTGAGAATGTAAGTGTCTAATTTATTGCGTTGTGGTAGATGTGTTTGGTTAATTTGTTGGTTGTTAATGAAATATAAAATTAAAGATTGGGTAAGAGATTAGGGTTTGTGACTCCGTAGCACACATTGTTGTAAGTATGAGTACATGTTAAGTGTTTATAATTGATCAATGATATAGGGTAATTGGTAGTGTAATTTAGTAATTATTGTGTATATTGCTTGAATGGTGATTGTTATGTGGGTATTGTAATGTGATTAAATGAGTGGTTTAATTTGGGATAAGTCAGTTTTTGTATCTTTAAATTTTGTTTAGTTGTCGTTTCTGATCGATGGTTGGTGAATTTAGTTTGACAATTGATGGACATTTTGGGGTCTATTTAGTAATGGCAGTGGTTTTCAAATATTGGCTTAATGGTCTATGTAGTCATTGAAAATGGGCTTAATAAATGTTATGATGTTGTTCTTTATATTGTGTTGTTATGTTGTGCTATTTGTTATTGTTTGTGCTGGTTGTTGTTGGGATATAATGATCCACTAGATTGAGTTATGGATGTATATGTGTTGTATGTGGGTGTTGGTGAGGCACTTGGAGAAGATAGTGAGGTTGATGTATATGTTTATGAGGAGGGGTTAGAGAGTAGGGATGGATTTACAAAAGGAGATGAGGAGGAGGAGGATGAAGAGGGAGAAGGAGATGAGGGAGAAATACAGGGGTCAGATTTTAAGGAAGTAGAAGTTGAGGGTGGCGTTGAAGATGAAGGGGCAAAGGTAAGAGGTTCCTCATTCATAACCCAAAAGAAGAACACGGTAATGGTGAACACTGTGTTTAGTGTAGAAGAGGAAGTACCGCCCCTAACTTTGGGCATGGTATTTGGGGGTTAAGATGAGTTAGATACCTATTTCTGGAGTTATGCTAGACAAAAGGGTTTTGGTATAGTGAGGGCTGCTTCTGGGTGGGTGGATGTGAAGAAGGAATTGGAAAAGGGAAAGTGTTGTAAGGAGAGAAGGAATGCTAAGTGGACTTGTGACTGTTATGGTTATGCTTCAAGGAAGCATAAACAGGATGCACTGAAGGAAGGGTTGTTGCAAGATGAAGAGACAGTTCAGAAACGGAAGACTAAAAAGTGCAATTGTCCTGTGGAGTTGTATGCCGGTGTTAATGAGGAAGGGAACTGGGTTGTTCGAAGGCTGAATTTGGAGCACAAAGGTCACATTGTTACTCCGGGAAAGTCAAAGGATGTAGCGATGTACCGAAAGCACGAGTTAATGGTGAAAAACAATCACTTGGTCAAGCAAGTGCATATGGCGAAGAAGTCTAAGGTGAAGGTATCCCAAATGTACAGTTGTTATGCTCGGGAGCGTAATGGAGTGGAGGAGATGACATTTACGTAAAGAGACTTGGAGAATGAAGTGGCTCAGAAAACTAGACTTGAGCTTACTAAGGGTGATGTAAATGGCATGATAGAATACTTCAACAAAATGAGTGTCGACTATCAGAATTTTTTCCATCTATGTCGGTTTGGGAAGGACGGCGCATTACAAGATGTTGTGTCGGTAGACGCGAGGAGTAGAGCTGCGTATGAGGAGTTTGGAGATGTTGTGTGTTTTGACAGTACGTATTTGACAAACAAATTTCACCTTCTCTTTGCTGTGTTTATCGGTGTCAACCATCATGGGCAGAGTATTTTGTTTGGGTGTGCATTGATCTCTCGGGAGACGGCGGAGACGTATGAGTGGGTGTTGAGGACTTGGCTACATTGAATGGGGGATAAAGCTCCTATCTCAATCCTAACGGATCAAGATCCGACGATTAGGAAAGCTGTAAACTTGACTATGCCTGAGAGTTGCCATAGGTGGTGCATATGGCACATACTTCAGAAGTTTGGGAGGTATGTTGGTAAGCATGAGGACTATGAAGCTGTAAAGGATGAGTTTGAAAATATCATTTATGGTAGCTTAGATGCTGATGAATTTGTAGATCGTTGGGCGGACACAATTGATTATTACAAACTAGGAGATAATAGTTGGCTTGAAGGTACTACACTTCCATATGTTTTGGTTATTTTTTTATTTTTATTTTTTTTATTGATTGTTAGTGATTTCTGTTAGAGTATGCAGAGGTGGTGTAGCTAGCTGTGTGTAGGGGACTGGAAGCCGTTTCAGTTCTGACTTAGAGTAGGAGCAGGTTTAGTGGTAGACTTTTGTACCACTGAATGTTATTTTTTTCCAATTTTCTTATTTGTGGCACATTTCGGAGACAGTGAATGTACCATTCACAGGAGTCTAGGTGTATGAGGTTTGTTAGGTTTTAGATAAGCCAGTTTTTGCAATTTTTTGAAATGTAGGGCTGTATGAGGAAAGGCACATGTGGATCCCAGCGTATTTGAAGCATTTATTCTGGGCCGGAATGAAAACGACCAAACGATCAGAAAGTTTCAATCACTTTTTCAAAGTTTATGTTGACAAGCATACAATGTTGTCTGAATTTGTGCTTCGATACTGCGATGCAATGCAGATAAGGGTCGAGTCAGAAAGAATTGCGGACTCCAACACAATACGGTACGTCAAGCATTTAGCTACTGATTTCCCAGCAGAGGAAGTGTTCCGGAAGTGTTACACGGACGCCAAATTCAAAGAAGTTCAGCGGGAGTGCAAGAGGATGTTGTACGTGCGTCGCCTAGATGACTATGAAGTTGGTGAGAATCAAGTTGAGTTTGTTATTGAGGACCGAGTGTGGATCAAGCCAAAATATGCAAAGAAAGAATCTGTGACTAAGATTCGGAGATGCTACAAGGTGTGCTATGATAGTAATACATATGAAGCAAGTTGTGACTATAAATACTTTAAGTGCCATGGAATCATACTGCCATGGACCATGTGTTGAAAATAGAGGTGGTTTCTTGAATAGTTTCCTGTGAAAGTGTACCTTATGATTCGCAGATTGCCACTGTAATCAGGGTGGTACATTTTCAGTATACGTAGGGTTTGAAGGTCAGAGTAGACGTTGTCAGAGTTCAAATCCATATTGATCTATTATTTTATTGTTGTTGTTGTAAAATTTTATTCTTGTTGTTCTGTTTATATGTCCTGAATATTTGTTTTTGATACAACGTAAACTAATATAGGTTTGTTTGATTATGAAGTAGTTGAGAACAATACAGCTAATATTGTAAACTACTGTGTCTGAGTGTGTTGTTTTGAATTGTAAAACATATTATTATATACAATAGAAACACAAATTTAACAAATCATAATCTGCAAGTTAAAAAAAGAAATGTCATTATAAAGATCATATTTATCATACATGATGGATGAGTAGACCATATTGTATAAAATACGCTTATTTCCCTAACGCATTTACAAGTTAAACAAGATATTGTATCTTCAGCATCCTCGTCATAAAGACCAGCCCATGCAGATAAGTTCTTCTCGTGTTGTAGTTTTAGTTTGCAAAATGTTTGCGGCTGTGGCATATAATCTACAACCAACTTATTTCTCATCTAATTTGACATCGCCATGTCACGTAACTTCCTTCTGCAGTGGACGATTCCTGCAGATCCGATGTTGTTGATAGTGTTCTTTAAAAGCTTAACACCTTTTTCTTCTTCTCCAGTGTATATATATATATGAGGCTTACTATATATGCTACCTCTGTATTTTGCAACGCAGTTGCTCTTTCCAACCTCTTCAACCCTTCGTCTACCACCATAGTGTTGAAGTATTGTCGCTACGATAACGTAAAATAGAAAAATTTTAACAATTATCAATAGGTTTTTTTTTTAATATTATAATGAATAAAATTCTCAAGTAATAAGAAAGAAGCCTTACAAATCCCAACTCAAGCAGAGCTTCAAGATGTTCATTCTCCACGCACTTCATGAAGAATGTGTTTGCCTCTTCTCGATGTAACCACCTTCATGTTTCAATCCAAGAGAGGTGAATTTGTTGAAGGACCCTTTTTTCTTCGGCTATCCTTCCTAGGGTCTTGCAACTTTTATCATGTCATACGCCAGAAATTACATTATTAAAATCTCTGTGTATAGGGGGATGAGAAACAAATTACAAATTATAAGTAAAATGAAATCCTACCTTAATTTGCACTGAAATAAATCTGCAAGAGATGACTTAGCAACGCAACACAGAATGGTCACTAACTAGTACTGTCAAAACGGTTTGACAGTTCGGTTTCGGTTCGGTTTGAAATCGGTTCGGTTTGAAATCGGGTCGGTTTGAAATCGGTTCAAATGTCTTACGGCTCGGTTTCAGTTCGGTTTAAATAATTATCGGTTCGATTCGGTTTCGGTTTATTCTTTAACGGTTTAAATTCGGTTCGGGTTTTAAACGGTCCGGGTAGTAAACGGTTCGGTGCAAACGGGTTGCGGTTTGTTAACGGTTCGGTGTAAACGGTTTATATCCCGGTTTAAATTCGGTTCGGTGCGGACGGGTTGCGGTTTGTTAACGGTTCGGTGTAAACGGTTTTATCCCGGTTCAAACGGTTTTGGGTTAGA